GTAATAATAATTATGTAAAAACTTTTGTACCATGAAAAAGTGCTGCTAGAATCCTACTGTCCTATCACAGAAATAATTATTCAACACTTTCTGATGAATCCTTACCAAATTTTTTACATTTTGTTCATAACATTGAAAAAAAAATGCTTTAAATTTCCCCGTACACCATACGGTTCTAGCTGCACTTTCCAAAAAACAATAGAATAAGAACTTTAGATAGAAACAAAAATTAAGTTTCAAAGTGTGCGGCGTAGTGTTGAACTTTTGCATCTTTTTGTTACGAACGACGAGAAAAGGCTGATCGGCAAGTAAACACCCTCCCTGCTTTAATTTTACGACGAAATTGTTGAAGTATATTACCATAACTTATTCATAAGCTTTATTCTCACATGAATCACACATGACATTCATTCTAAATGCTTTTAAACTCCGATTCCTTGTGTTTGTTTACATGAATTCTTCGTTACGTTTCACTTTCACTCTGCTACTACATGTTCAACAGTTATGACGTCACGGGTTTGGAATTTAACCCCTGGGATAAAGAAAAAGACCCAGAAACGACAAAATTCCGTTTATATTATGCCTCTGCATATTTAGATTCGTTGATGACCCAAAATCAATCTTAGATATCGATTATAAGAAATTGTTTTATCTAAACTTCACGTCATATAGCTTACTATGACGTCATATCATCACGGAAAGGTCACGGGAAAGGGTCTTCTCAGTGACCTTTCAGTGACCATTCAGTGGGCATTCAGTTACCATCAGTCGACTGAGTGGTGGATTTTCATCCTGTGTACGCCAACAGGACAAGTCTGTGTGATTTAACCACAAATAATTCACACAAAACTGAAAAAAAATATTGCTTAAGTGTCAACTTAATTAATATACGCCAAAATTATAGGCATACCTTTAAAAATGCAATAATTGCGACGATCGTATTCTTCTCCGGCGTAGAAAAAATGTTACGAAATTCGAATGATTTTTAATATATATACATAAATATATATATTTATATGGATTTTCAAAAAAAAACATTTCTTCGTTGGGAAAAAGGGAGAGATAACTCTAAAATCTTGGTAAAGTTCGCGTTTTTACTAGAAATCAACGGTAAACAAAATGTATTTTTAAACATTTTCCTCCCATGAAGCAATTTTTACTGGTAATATGGACTGCCATTTCACAAATTCTTACCAATTTTTTTTTGTGTTTCACGGGAGGCTGGGGCATATGTCTAAAGACAAAAAAAGAACAAAATGTTTTTTCTCAGCAATTTCCAAGTGCTTAACAATTAAAACATTGTATTTTACTAATAGATGAAGGATAATTATATTGTGTGATTTGATGTTGGCTCTATTCAACATTATTTGGTAATTATGTTTATATTAGCGAGACTTGTCGAGCGAATATACACCATTTCAACGAGTTGGATGAAGCCAATATCAAGTCACTCAATTATTGATGTTCTATTTATCTCATACGACTTTCGTTTTAACAAAACTTTGAGACTACTGCTGCAAAAGTACGTGAGTGATTGATAATTCAAATTGATGACGTATAATTTGACGACGTAGCACCGCTGATGTTAATATGCCTCGAAAGAAAGTAGATCGTGATCATTTTTTTTTTAATTTTTCCTATCTGCGATTTTGAAAACATTAGGCCTATGAAAAAATTGATGGAGCTTTACACCAAACGAACTTTTGAATTGAAGTTGTAAGGACCATGGATCGAGAAAACTAACTTTTTGTACGGTGGCAGTACAGAAGGTGCTAGACAAGGCTACTTGTACGTTCATTGTTGATCCATGACATTCCCTTACTTATACAGCAATATACCTTCATCACCTGCATACGGAGTGTATATACTTCAGTTGATTCGATACGCATGCACATGCTCTACGTATGAACAATTTGTAAAACGAGGAAAATTATGGACATGCAAGTTGATGAAACAAGAATATCAACAGTCTCGTTTATAGTCGTCATTTCGTAAGTTCTTTGGTCGATACAATGACCTTGTCGGCAAAAACGATTTATCATTGAGTCAAATGCTGACTGACGTTTTGCATACCAATTGCTAGTCCATTATTTACATTATTTACACTCTGAATTGACGACGAATTTTTCCGTTATCTCCCGATTATGACAAAGAGCACAAGGCGGATGTGACCCGTCAGCAGGGGATGCACATTCCTCGATGGCACCTTATCCCACCTCTGATGTTTCGGAGGTCCGTGTTTGCTCCGCTCTTCTTTTGTATTGTTTTATGGACCTTGAGATTGAATACTGTTCGTTATCTCCATATCTTTACTAAGTTACACCCAAATTACTAGGTAGGCATACGTAGTATAATATAAGAAAGCATTGTTGAAGATGTTAAGGCGTCTTATAACTACAACTTAACTGCTACGCTTTACTTTTTCCGAAAACGAATAAAGGGATGGTGTAACATTTGATTTCAAGTGCCCAATACCGTTTCCTATATAAAATAAGACATTTCTTTGACATATTTAAGTCTGTTTCTTGCTTTTAACGATATTATTACTCTTTATCATTCATTTTATAAGTATAATGATTTTCACATATAAAAGTTTCAATAAATTAAAATCTTAAAGCGGGGGATCGTGTCCAAATCGGAATTGCTTATAATAAAGCATTTACCCAGGAATAAAGCATACGTTTATCTCATGGGCAGTATCTCTCACACGTATGAGATAATTATGCTTACTTTTTATGCATAAAATATAAGAAAAACTTTAAGAAACAATAATTCATATTCAAGTCTCTTTCAGAATATAATGATGCTTTATGATGCAATTTCAATGGACCCCCCCCCCTTATATTAAGAGCTGGAATTTGGGATATTTCACTATTTAGCACTGGTGTTGAAATAATTAATGAATTACAATCAAACTGCTCTTGGTATTAAACAAAAACTTTATAGTGAAATTGTCATCAACCTTGAATTAAATGGCTCTCAAATGTAGGCACGTATCTCGAGTTAGGGTGCGTAGTTCTTTTACATCCGCCGAGTAAACCCGCCTCCCGATTTGTTTCAACTAGCGTAAATTAAACAAGTCGTATGTGTAGTTTTGTTGTTCCAAAGAATATAAAACATAATAAATTTTCATTTTATATCAAAACTTATTGTCGTAAGATTGTTCAATACAATGACTATGTGTGGTTACTCAGTATACATGCTAATTATTAAAGGTAATCCAGAAACGTGTCAATGGGTCCCTGAGGTTTGACAGAGATTGGACAGCATATAAAAATGGTTTTGGTTCTCCAGAACAAGATGTTTGGATTGGTTAGTATATTTTTTTTTTGTTAAAGGAACATTCAGTCGCTTCAATATTGAACAGTATGGTTTTTGAGGGCAGATGATATAAAATACATGGTTACTGTTTTGGAATATAAGCAATATTTGTTTTAATTATGACTCCATGGCGTAAACTTTGCAATACACATGACTTCACAATGCTTTTAGAACATCGGAATACATGCACGAGGCTTTATTGTGCATTGACCAAATAAAGCTTTGGTTTAATAGGTTACATTTATTAGGTCAACGCAAGGGGTATTTGCATGATTAAAAAATGAAACTGTATCGAAGATACATCTGATTTTAAGACAGGATAATATGTTTTGAAGATATTCACTTTTAGTGTTTAACTGTTATTTAAAATTGGAAAATAATGAAAAAAAAAGAGATAACAATCATTTGTCGGCATGAAGCCACAATTAGCATCAATGTCTTCAACTAAGAAAATAATTTGATCTTCATTAAAGTATATTTCGTATTAATTAATTTTTGTGTTGCAAATAATTTTCCTGTTGATTTTAAAATTTTTCTTTATGCAGGAAATGACGTTATACATCAATTAACCAAAGAAAACCCATCCCTTTATGTGTCCATCACTCTCGAGAATGGTACAAAACTTTATGAAATGTACGATAGATTTTCTGTCTCCAATGAAACAGGGAAATATCAACTTTTTCTTGCAGGACCTGCCACGGGGACCTTAGGTAAGTGTATGCATTAAAGGGCAGGCGAGACGTTCCTTGATAATATATAAACTTTTTCAAGATTTTGTCATTGAAGTATTGCTACTAAATCGTGTTTACTCAAAAAAAATTGAGGTACCTTACCAGGCATTTCTGCAAGATACCAGGAGTAGTTTTTCTTATATAATCCTTTTAATTTTCCAATTTCAAATGTTTAAGTGTTTGGATTTTTAAAAGACGTTTAGAAACTGGTTTTGAAATCAGAAAGTAATTAAAATTTTAAATATTTTTCATACATGACAAAGATATACAAAACAGATACTGAGGAACGTCGTGTCTGACCTCAGTTTCTTAAAACTGGCCACAGATCACTTATACATCACAAATTTTGACAGATTATTTATATAACATATTCTAAGTGTCTTTTGTTGAAACGTAGAAGGGAGGACGGTTAATAAAACAGATGATGTCTGTGTATTAATGTTAGAGATGAAGCATATTTTGATATATTTTAAGCACACAGGTCAAACGATCCCTTGAAATACGATTCAAAGATTATCATGTCAGCGATTCTTTTTTTTTTCAAAATGACAAAAATATTCTTCTGAAGAGTGATTATTTGTTCTTGACCTAGAAAGCTCACCAGCTGATCTGATACAAGATAAGCTATGAAGAAACATAAGTAAATTATCCTATTTTTTCACTTAGAATGACTGCATTTCTGTCATTTGAGTGTTTTAAAGAAGTTAAACAGTATATATTTCTGTATGGCAGGAAAACCCTCTAAATTCCTGCAAGGAATAAATAGCTATAATTCTAAAGTACCTCTGTGGAAGGATATTCATCTGAAAGAATTTCAAAATTTAAATATTTTTCAGCAGTACTTTGAATTTTTTGAAAACATTTCGTCATAAAAGAAACTTTCTTAAAAGCCCTTACTTATTCTCAATGAAAAAATATCAAGTCTTTTTATATAGGGTCTATCATACATAATTTTCCTCAATATTCTGTAAACTTTCCTTTCTCCATGTAAATAAACATTTTTAATATTTCAAGATATCATTTTTTTATTAAAATTCAAAATCACCGGGGACATTGAATTAGTCATTGCCACGTTGTTGAAATTTTAAATTAACTTCTTTAAATACGTAGAAAATTATATACCGTAAAATTAAATTTCTTTGTAACTAGCATATCCGATAGCTATTTCTGTTCACTCATTGTTATCTTGATAATTTAATAATTTACATTTGTAATTACAAAGGAATAGGAAGTTTACAGAGGGCCATAGATATGTAATATCGACAAGTTCATATTGTAGGTCGATAAATATTATCTCTTTTTACAGAAAACAATATGAGAAATCGTCTATTTCCTACCTTCTTCAGTATTGTTGACAATAAGATAAATCTGGTTTATTTACATTTCAAGAGTAGTTTGCTAACAAATGGAAGAAACCTACTGCATACAAAACACAAAAGATTAAATTATGCGTTTTATTTTGATGTCACAATTGACGAACATCCCGGAAATGAGATGACATAAGGGAAAGTCAAGATTCATGCTAAGATTGAACAAAAGTTGTTTCAATGTCAATTCCATTAACCCCTTACATGGCATATACGCCTTTCTACGCCTCTAACTTGAAAAACGAGAGTAGTGTGAAAAAACATTCATAACTTTCTTAATACTGCAAATATCAGAATAAATCTTACCCCGTTGGAAAGAGAAAATAATTACGATAAAATATTATGCAGAAATTTTTTTTATTGGTTGTACCAGTTTTTTGTCTGCTTTGATTAAACTTTGCGCACATTTTAAGCGATTTCGCCATTATCGATATCAATGCAAGGGTAGTGCATTCTATGTAAAAATGCTGAATTCTGGTGATTACCTCCAACCCCAACCCCATCCACCAAATTACTTAAAGTTGGTTTGTAAAAAAAAAAGTACAGCATGCTAAAAATTTTCAACACATCAATAAAATATTTTTTTATATATTTAACTAAGAAAAAAGAATGAATGAAACTTATTCTAGAATAAATGGAAATTCCAGCATGATCATGGTGTATTTCGTTGCCATGACAACTGAAATGATATCTTTATAATCATTTTCAGAAACTACACAATACCTGCTTTTAGAATATATATACATTGGTATGTACAAAAATTACAAGAGATACTAAAAAAATGCATTAAATTCTTAATAACAATTTGTCTAGAAATGTTTAAAATCTTTGCCATGGAAAGGTGTAAAATGTAACTTGCCCTTAGGATAATACAGGGATTTTAAAATCAAAATCAAAGTTGCAGTGAAGACAGAGGAATTAAAAAGCTAAATATAAGCCCTAACAAGCCGTTGCAATTATGAAACTTTATCTTCCATGTTATATTCATTTAATGCTTAAATAAAACAATTCATTATGTATGAGATACAGTGGACCCTCATTCATCCGGACGCTTTGGTTCCCAGCCAATTTGTCCGGATATGTGAAGCATCCGGATATCTGAATCACCAGTTAAACATGACAGAGTAACATTTAAAAATTTCGTTCCAAAGAAAAATCGTCCGGATGCTGAAGCATCCGGATATCTGGCGTCCGGATATCTGAAGGTCCACTGTACATGTATTTCGCATCTACAGGTGACAGTATGTTAGACACTGGTTATCCAATTTACTACGATCTGTCTGGGATGTACTTCTCCACCCCAGACAGAGATAACGACGTGTATGGTGACTATAACTGTGCTGCTAGCAATGGAGGAGGCTGGTGGTTTAATATCTGTCACCGGGCCTTCCTTAACGGTCGCTGGTCCCCGGGACACTGGATCGACCCGTGGTCTCCTACAGTAGAGTGGGGGATGTACGTGAGGGGGACCTTGATGATGATAAAACGTCACTAGGTAAACACCGATAAATCTTTATTACAAGTTTTCTCGTACCGGTATTTCCGTAAAAATTTTTAATGGTTTGAATATTCTTTTTTTGTAAAAAAAAATATGCTATTTCTGTACCTTGGGACATTTCACTTTTCAACATGGCAGCCAGTGTAGCAGTAGTCCTCTTGAGTCTTGTTTAGTATTAATTTATTTTTTTTAATGTTTAACAGATAAAACACCATCCATCATCAAGACAAACCCGATTTCAATTAATATTTATCGAGGGTTTCTTTTTTAAAATAATTTTTTACATCAAGTGACAAAATATGTAAATCAATAAGTTTTCGGTAAAGGAAGGATATTGAACTATTATTTAAAGCAATATATAAATTATTGTATTTTTCCTACTGAATGTATTTAGTTAAAGATGTACTTTATAAGTGTTGTAATAAATTTAAAATTAGAAACATTTTGTTCATTTTTACTAACAATGAAAAATGAAGATATCTGGACGGAGAATTGGGATATAGAAAACTTTATTGTTGAATCTTTTCAATGGAACCTGTGTTATCCGACACATGAGCAATACGCTTTACTGTGTTTTCCACCATTCACTTTCATTTCTTAAGATTTTAAAATATCAAAAGAGAAAATTATTAGGTATATTTCATGTTAATGTTTTGCATTATACAAGAATATGCTTCTCGAAAAAAACCCTATTTTCCCTCCATGCAGTATTTAGACTCGATGAGCATTTTTTCTCCATTTATCTGCTATACAGAACCGCTTAAATAGATGTTATTACTTTTCTTTAATATCATCAAAAAATGAACTAAATAGTTGACGTCAGACAGAATATTTTTTTTTCTCACAAAACCAATTATACCATGAATTTATCTTAAAAATTTTGAATTTAACGTGTTACAAGAAACGCAAAGATGCCAGGCTCGAACGTTTGATAGGTATAACATTTTTATCAAGAGTATGTTATGAGCTTAAAGTAATAAAAAACATTTTCTGAAGATCACTATCTTCTATTGCTACAGACTAGCATTTGAAAAATAATAAATGGATGCACAAGATCTGTCATCCTAGGCCTAGACTTATCGATCATATGAATTTCTCTCCTTTTTTATTTCAAAACACCATAACACAGAACGAGGGTAAACGGTTACAATGTGTAATAAGTATTTTATTCTGAAATCACAAACGTTCAAATTCATGCAAGAGCAATGTCAAAAGCGAAAACCAAAATGAATTGATTGTTATTAACGTCAGAGATAATTAAAGTATTTAAAAAACTAATTCAAATTTGCGAAACAGCTAAAGGAGTTTGAAAAAGTAAAGAAATAAACACTGATTCATTTTTTTTTTAAAATATGTTTTTTTTTATATCTGCAACTGTCTTTGCTCATAAATTTAGCTATCTAGCATTTATCAATACGTTTGCAAATACCTGTGAAATCATGAGACTACATCTTTCAAAAACAAAAATCAATGTTTAAGTTTTGACACAATAAAACATCGATATGTGTGTTAAGACAAGTCTTTCTCTATTGTGCAATGTGTAGATTATAGTTTATGTATATCCAAAAATTTTGATTTTTTTGTTTAACGAGGCCGAGTCTAATTCGAGTGCGCATCACTTTGCGCAGCTTTTTAATTTCATGCAGTCATAAACTATTTTAATTTTAATACAAAATTAATATTATTTGTAACTCCTACTGATCTGAAAATGTGATTTTACGACAATTAGTGGAAAAAGAACGTTGAAATGACTCTAACAACGTCACCATAGATATGTATTTTTACCGTAATATGGCAATTTTAGAGGCATTTGGCTTCGACCTAGACCAATCGAGATGGTGAACTTTTTTGAAATTTCACGATTTTGTGACTTTTTACATTTACTTTCATTTACTTGAATGAAAAAGAAATCCCTAGGGCAGAAGCAGAAAAAATAATGAAAAAAATGTTATAATTTGGCGATTTTCCAACAAATTCCCATAGGGTCCAATAGTAAAGTTTGACAACATTTAAGTTGGTCCATTTAGAAAACGGGGTGGTAAACATTCGATATTTTAATCCTAAAACAATCAATATAACAGTAAAAATTAATTTTCAAAAAATTATCAAAATCCCTAGCCACCATTAAGTCAGCATTAAGCTACCATTAAGCGATTGCTTAAAGGTGGTCTTTCGTCTTGTGACGGGGAAAGTGTCATAGTTATTACATAACATGTAGATTTAATTTGGAGACTTGTTGTTTAATTCAAGTGTAAGGATTGTATTTTAAGCTCGAGTGTGCTGTTATGATTTGAACAACAAATTCCCATAGGGTCCAATAGTAAAGTTTGACAACATTTAAGTTGGCCCATTTAGAAAACGGGGTGATAAACATTCGATATTTTAATCCTAAAACAATCAATATAACAGTAAAAATTAATTTTCAAAAAATTATCAAAATCCCTAGGGCAGAAATAATTAGACTCGGCCTCGTTAATTAAAGGCTGCAACAGGTCAATTATTATGACGAAAGATAAAGATTTTTATAAAGTACCGGGTAGGTTAAACCGGACAAAGTCGAGGAGTCAATGTTAATGATACCCAAAAGAAAATCACAAAGAATACAAAGGTGAAATATAAGAGTCACAGGATCAACTATTCAAAGGTTCTGACCAAAGTTGTTGTTTTTTTTAGAAGAAGGAAAAAATTTGGGGTATAAGTAAAAGGATAAAAATATTGGCATTCAAGGGAAGCTCTACCACAAAAAATAATAAACCGGTAAAATACTAAATCCCAAGCACTAACAATTCAGTAGCTATGATTAAGGTGATTTTTTAAAGAGCAGATCAAATCCTTAAGTTCAAGGCCATTACTGTTGGTACTCAAGAGAAGGTCGTGTCGAAACATGAGGAGCATCAATCAAACGTTATGACCAGGGCTATTTTTTAACACTGACAGCTATACTGACAAACAAACGGACAGAGGGACCGACCGTCAGAGAAAAAATATATATCCGCCTGATTCTTGGATTACGGGTACTTATTTTTTTTTTTAAACAATTTGTTCCAAATATCATTTTATACGTATGGTGAGAAGAGATCTGAGTGTAAGTTTATATGCAAATAAACCGAGACGCCACAATTCAATGTACAACCTGTCTCCATGTACATGCTATCCATAGTTTATTTAAAAGCTTGAGAATAAATCTTGATTTCTTCCAAGGAGACGAATATACTGCATATATAAACTTGAGAAGACTACTTTTAATAATTTAGAACTTTTATTACATCGTACTTAATGAAATCATAAAAGAAAATAATGATTGCAAATGATTAATTTTATTGAAGGAAAATGAATCATTATCATTATGTATCAGAAAACTCTAAAACACAGGAACAAAAAAAAAAACCGCAAAGCCCTGGAACACTCTTCTGGTTCGAAATAAAAAGGCAAATCCTCACAAATAAAGGGGAGTTTTAGTCCGACTTCTCCTGTATAGTAGTTCAGTAGTTCCTCTCAGTCACCTAGCGCCACCTACCGTTATTATGATAAGTCAAAAGGAGGTCAAAGATTGGGTCAACTGCTGTCTCATCTTCTTTGTTGGGACTCCAGTTCTGTTACGTCACTGGTGTCCAATTTTCAAAAAAATAGTTTTTCATGGTCGTCAAATGCCACTGCATTGGCACAGAATGTAAATGAACAGCTGAGGACAAGTTCTGCAGAAAAGGACAAAAAAATTATATCATACTCAGAAATCAATATCTTTGTCATATCTTACTTGTATGATAAAGGATTAATACCAACTTATCTAAAATAACTTGTTGCTTCACATTCTGTATGCTCTAAAAAAATTGATAAAATTTGATCTTGTGTATGCAAAAGAAACAGACATTTAAAGGGAATACATTCTTTTTTCATTTAAGCATATGTATATATATATAACATTTTATGACGAGCATAAGCAAACCTTGGCAAAACAAAAATTCAATTTAAAGAACGAAAGAAAATAGATACTCTTAGGGGGTGTTTGATTCCCCAAAAATGTGTTTTTTTTATCAAATTAGATATTTACAATTTTGATACATTGCAAATGTACATTTTCCGGGCGTTTTTTATCTAAAAATTTCAATTCAGATCTGTAGAACGCAAAAAATATCTCACTTTCAATCAAAATTTTTTAAACATAAATAACATATTATAATGAAAAATATCTATTTTTAATCAAATTCAAGGAAGAGAAAACTGACAAGAACATTTTTGTCATTGCGTTCATGTGTTAAAATAAAGCATGCTACATGTATTTATAAAATCTTGAATTATATACACACGTATATAGTATTTACTCCTCAAGAAGGATATGGTGAAACGGACAGTGTCCACAAAACAATACAAAATAGAAGCAGAACAAACACGGACATCCGATATACCAGCGGTAGGATCCGGTGCCATGGAAGAGTGAGCATCTCCTGCTGACTGGTTATAACCGATATCTGCTCATGATGTGTCGTGATCGGGAAATAACGGGAAAATCCGTGGTCAATTCACTGTATTGATAATGGACTAACAATTAATATGAAAAACGTCAGTCAGCGTTAGACTTAATGCGAAATTGCATTTGATGAGAAGGTCATTGTATCGGACCATTGATGTAAAAGTATTCAAAATACTTTTCCGCGAAAGGAATTAGTAAGGACTTAACCTTACAATCTGGAGTAAAAAATCAACTTTAAAATGTTAAAAGATTTTGCAAACACTATGCAACCAATTCTCTGCACTTCAAAAACCATCTAATTACAAGTGACTAACGAGGGGGCTAAGCTAATGTCGAGTAGAAGAAATTAGATCATTTTTATACCCCACGTTTGATCAGCGGGAGGGTACATAGTAATCGGGATTTCCGTCTGTCCCTCCGTCCGTCTGTTACGCTTTATCTCTTATCCGCAAATTCTTTTATACTACCGAGAGAAATTTAATGAAACTTTCATAGAATCTTTATTCATATTGTCATTGTGCACCTCCTATGTTACTTTTTTATTCGACACGTATTTTAGGCTTCCCATAGCAAAACATGGACATTGCCATTACATATAGAAGCTTCTGGATAACATTTGATAGGACGAGTTATTCCTCTTTACACATTACCGTTAAACAATATATAGCACCACATTGACATTATGGAAGGCGGGGGTATCATTTAGTGAGCTCATTGCTCACAGTACTTCTAGTTTTTATTAATTTTAGAATATCTCTAGAAGTGTACGAAATTTCGGAATGAGATTTGGTAGAATTGAAGAATGTTTATCTCAAAAGAGATTTAAATAAAAAGTAGAATATTAGAGCACTTGATTAAAAAATATATACTTTATTAGCGAAATCGGTTACCCAGTGTAAGAGTTCCATACCTTTATATTTTTTACAAATAATTTTTAAGCAATATGAGCTGAATGTTTGACATGGATAAAAATATTTCAATTTTGTTATTTACTTTTTCAATGACAGGAAAATAGAACGTTTATAAACTTCTTTTGTTCATATTTGCTTTGGAAGAACTTTTTAAAAACTTCGATTGAAGCAAAACTGAATTATTATCACCCTGTAAAATAATGATTTCTTATATAATGCTGTATGTTCGGTTGTACAGAAATATTTCTTCTAAAACATTTTTAAACTTTATTTTGGTCTTATTGATCTTAAGGGCTTACTAGATTACATCAGACAAATCATAATAACACATTTTACCAGCAAAATAAAATTCTCAAAAATGCAGATCATATTGGTTTAAGCGATCCAAAGGCCTATGTGCTACAAATCACATAAAAACCTTTAGTTTTTGTCGCTCAACATTATTCTAACTGTTTTAATCTTGTGTTTGCATTACCGTTGATTTATTTTATTTTTATAACTTTGCAGATTTTTTACCATTACAAAAAATGTTGTAATTAACAAAAAAGCAATGATTTTCTTCAAGCTAGCAACTCTTCTGAAAGTAGAAATGGGAATCTTGCGCCCGCTATAATGAAAGGAAATTAAAAATTAAAGATATGACCTACATATTACATGTATATATATTAATGACAAAGGTCATAATTCGGCGAATTTACACTGTTTCGTAAAGATGTAACATCGATAAAAATCGGTAAAGTCCTCCATAAAAGTGTTTCTATCTTAAAACGTCCTACCGACTTCTATGGAACTAACACGGTAAAAAAGCACTCCACCATGATGTTATCATGTGACCATGAAGTCTATAAATAGAAAAAAATAATTAAAAAGCTGAGTTCAACACTACGGCGCGGATAATTAATTTCTTTCTGTAAAAAAAAAAAAATATGTAAAAGCAGTCTCTGTACGATGAAAACTGCTGCTAGAATCCTTCTCTCTGCGTTTATTATGGAAAGCCATAGGGGACCCCCAGCGTCAGGTCTATAGATCCAGCTTGAGCCCTGGCCACCCATGATTCTCTACCTGATGCTTTACCTGGCCTTCCCATGCTTGCATCCTGGACCTCCCAGGGTCAGGGTCTATGTAATCAATAGTTTTAACCCTGGCCGTCCACCCTGGCATTCCCATGCTTGCATCCTGGACCTCCCAGGGTCAGGGTCTATTTAATCTATAGTTTTAACCCTGGCCACCCATGATGTACACCCTGGCCGTCCACCCTGGCCTTCCCATCTTTGCATCCTGGAACTCCCAGGGTCAGGGTCTTTAACCCTGGCCGTCCACCCTAGCCAACCCATGTTTACATCTTTACCCCTGGCCGTCCACCCTAGCCTGGCCAATCCATGTTTGCAGTATGCCAATCCCATGCCAGCCTGGCTTGCGCTGCTGTTTACATCCTGGCATGCCCAAGGTAACCCTGGCCATGGCCAGCATTCCTGGGTGACCTCATTATTCCCCAAGCTTCTCAGCCTATATAGAACTGGCCAAGATTCCAAGAGATAGAGATTTGGCTTGGGATATTTTGATAGATTGAGATTTGGCCAAGATTTCTAAGGACGCGGTTGTGGAGCAGCGTGGTCATTTGATTAACTCATTTGGGAGCCATCTGCCATCGTTGCCATTACATTTGTTATACTTAACGTTTATATCAATAATATTCTTTGCATTAATATATATAAAATAACAAATTGGAACTCATAAATTTTTATATTTACAGCAATTTTAATTAAATTTTTTATTGGGAATATTTTGTTTGTTTACTACAGCTAGGTATAATTGTAAATAATTCCGGATAGACAATCTTCTTATATTTGGGTCCGGCTACTCGATTTGTATATTAGTTTTACACTTTCCGCCCGGCGTCTTTGTACATCCTAACGTGAACGAAAGAACGACAAAAGTTAAAACTTTAGCGACTTGGTCAGGAGAACAAGCCACTAATAGTAAGAACTTGACTTCAGTCTCATCAAGATGTCAAAGGTTGATGACAATACAACGCCTGATGTTACGGATACAGCTAATGGTACAACATCCAACGAAAAGTATGATACAACGATGAATAATGAACACAACGAACCAGTGAATAACGAGACACAACAAACGACAAACAAAGACACTTTACTTGTGAGACAGAGGAAGTCTGAACGGGTACATAAACCCACCGACCGAATGTTAGATTACATGGACCAGGAGTCTAAGAGACGTGAAAAGAGGATTCAATTGTGCTTCGATCGATGGAAGTTCAAGGTCAGAGAGTGTAGACAAAATATGAAAGTAGAGTCCAGTGAAGAAGATCTTGGAAACATGTTAGACGAAATATTGAAACTGGAAAGAGAGGTCATAGAGGCTTTTGAACATTTGCGTAATTCATGTAGTGCACCACACCAAAGTGTAGTTCGGAAAGTGGACGCTTGTGTCGCTATTTTCTAAAGACATGACTCATCTCATCAATGAAAAAATCTAGGATTTGAAGACACCATAGACAGTTGTAAAGGTTTAAAGCATAATGAGTACGCTAGGTCTGTGTTTAGTGACTTGAGTTGGTCTAGTGTCTCGGAGTGTTGATTCAATAAAATCACAACTGTCCTCAAAGTTAGTGAATGCCCTCGCAGATGTAGCAACCAAAAGGGTAGAACTGGAGTCGATAAAGAAATAAGAGGAACAGCAAACAAAGTTTGTAGCACTGCAAGAGCAACAACGAAAACTACTAGAAACTCATAAGCGGGAAGTGAGAAAATTGCAAGCAGAGAAATCAGTTGCAATGGCAGAAGCAAGACTCAAGGCCTACTCGGATTTGATGCAGGGGGATGTGAACATTGCTGCAGCCACAAGCAGACGTCAAACTGAACATGACACTTCCTGTAGAAGCCGTCCAACTGACCTGACCCCCCGGCTGTTACGACTATTGTTAGCCACCCTACGATTACACCAGTCGTCATGTCTACTACTCGTCCTACCGTTACACACATTGGGAGGTCTACTTATACTCCGTTCAACCCACCTACTTACAACGCTACAGTCAACTCGAACAGCACCACAAACGATGATTCTACAACAAGTATCTTAGCAAAGGTGTTTGCAGACTCAGTGAACCTTAATAGGCTACCTATACCTGAGCCGTCAGTGTTCACAGGAGATCCACTTAGATTCGTAGAATGGAAGACAGCCTTTCATGCATTGATAGAACATAAAGGCATTCCTGAGCAAGAGATACTATTCTATTTGAAGAGAAACGTGGCGGGTGAAGCACTACAAGCCATAGATGGATTCTTCTACAATGGAAGCAACTCTGCATATGAAAACGCCAGACGAGTCCTGCAGGACAGATACGGACACCCATTTGTTATGCAGAAGGCATTTAGGAAGAGACTAGAGAATTGGCCCAAAATCACAGAAGGGAATTCAAAGGCTCTCAGAGATTTTGGAGACTTCCTACTAGCCTGTCGAGATGCAACGCCTCAGGTTCCAAGCCTTAAAATTCTGGACGACTGCTCTGAAAATCAGAAACTATTGAGCAAACTTCCTAATTGGGCTGCACTGCGTTGGAATCGACAAGTTCAAGAAACTATTGACTCTACTGGTGAATATCCATTATTCTCCAAGTTTGTGGACTTCGTCGTAAAGGAGGCTCGCATTGCTTGTAATCCAGTCTCGTCAATCTATGCGCTCAAGGACACTGACACAAAACCTGCCAGAGAGCACAAAAACTCGAGTCGCAAAGCAAATGTCCTCGCAACGACTTCAACTCATCAGCACAATGCAACGGGAACTGATGTCAGACCCAACTTATGTGATTATTGTGAGAAAGAAGGACATCCCTTGTTCAAGTGCGAGAAATTTATTGACTTGTCTATTGATGATAAACGAGTGGTAGTGCGTAAGAAAAACCTGTGCTTTGGATGTCTACGCAAGGGCCACAGAAACAAGGACTGCAAGAAGAAGCATACGTGTGGTATCTGCAAGGGAAAACACCCAACCTGCATGCATGAAGATGAATCACCAACAAGAAAGCAACAATTAGAGGTCAAGGTAGCCAGTTCCTCTCGTGTGAGCAGAGGATATGGTCACAGCACCTCCATGATCGTTCCAGTGTGGCTTTCTGTTCAGGAGAACCCCTCGCACGAGATATTGACATATGCTCTCTTAGACACACAAAGTGACACTACCTTTGTACTAGACGAAACGGCTGCTGCCTTGCATGTGAATAGACAACCAACACGTCTCAGCTTGTCTACCATGACCTCGCAGCACACTATCATTAACAGTTTCCGTATACAGAACCTGATAGTGAGAGGGTTCAAGTGTACCGAATTTGTGACAATAGACAATGCATATACGAGAGACTTCATTCCTGCGGATCGCTCACATATACCTGAAAAGAAAACCGTAATGAGCTGGCCACACCTGAAGGAGCTTAGCAACGAACTACCACCTCTTCAGTCATGTGAATTTGGACTCTTGATTGGATACAATTGTCCTCAAGCTCTTGTACCAAAAAAAACTCTAACAGGAAACGAGAACCAGCCATATGGCATCCAGACACTGCTTGGTTGGAGCGTGGTTGGATACACAGATCGCACAGACTCAGACGTTACTGTTGTTTGTCACAGAACTTCAGTGAAGGAGCTGCACAGCTGTACACCCAGGGATGTCATAAAAACTTTGGAGAAAGACTTTGCGCATGACAAGAATGAAGATATAAAGATATCTCAAGATGATATCGCCTTCCTTAACTTTATGAAAGAAAACATACAGCAGCATGAGGATAAGCATTTGGTAATGCCTCTACCATTCAAGGAGCGACCCTCCCTGCCCAACAACAAGTCACTTGCTTTGATTCGCTTAGATCATCTGAAACGAAAACTTAAAAGAGACCAGACATATCAAGAACATTACTAGACTTTTATGAGAGAAGTATTGGAAAGAGGCGACGCCGAACCAGTATCGTCAGATGGTGTCAGTGGAAATACATGGTATATCCCACATCATGGTGTTTATCACCCGAGGAAGCCTGGAAAGCTTAGAGTAGTGTTTGACTGTTCAGCAAGATACAAAGACGCTTCATTGAATGAGCATCTACTGACTGGTCTGGATCTCACAAATGCTCTGACTGGTGTTCTGTGCAGATTCAGACAATACCCTGTGGCTGTCATGTGTGATGTAGAGAAGATGTTCCACCAGTTTGTTGCAGACCGAGATTTCTTACGATTCCTATGGTGGGAGGAAGGAAACTTAGATGCAGAACCCAAAGAATATCGAATGAGAGTTCACCTATTTGGAGCGGCTTCCTCGCCAGGATGTGCTAATTATGGACTCAAGTTCTCAGCCAGAAGCCAAGAAGAGCAACTTCAAGCTGCATCATTCTTTGTGCAGAACAATTTCTATGTGGATGACGGACTAAGTAGTGTTGAGACTGAAGAAGAAACTATCAAGTTGATAGAAGACGCACAGATTCTGTGTGCCAATGGTGGATTGCGTCTACACAAATTTATTTCCAACAACAAGAACGTAATAAATTCTGTTGCTGAATCAGAGAGAGCGGCAGATGTTAAAGACTTAGACCTTTCACATGAACAATTACCTATGGAACAAGCACTTGGTATAAAGTGGAACATTGAAGAGGATTCGTTTTGCTTCAAAGCTGTCGACCAGAATGCATCTCCTACTAGGCGCAGTATGCTATCCATTGTAGCATCAATATTCGACCCATTGGGATTCCTCTCCCCTTTCACTCTGACTGGGAAACGAATACTGCAGGAGATGTGTCAAGGTAACATAGGATGGAATGACCCTCTACCCGCAGACAGACTACTTGAATTGGAAGCTTGAATCAAAGATCTACAGAACCTTGATCTCATCAAAGTCCCAAGATGCCTCATACCAAGTGATTTTGGCAAACCGATAACCTATGAGCTGCATCATTTCTCGGACGCAAGCACAAATGGCTATGGACAGTGTTCTTACCTTAGAGTTGTAAGGGGAACGAAGGTACATTGTGCTTTAGTTATCGCAAAGGCAAGAGTAGCACCTCTAAAGGTTGTAACGATACCTCGCTTGGAATTGACAGCTGCAGTATTGTCAGTGAAGGTCAATTTATTTTTGAAGAGGGAGCTGAATCTACCTATCAACAGAGAGTACTTTTGGACAGACTCTAAAGTGGTGCTTGGCTATATCAACAACGAGGCTGCAGGTTCCACGTATTTGTTGCAAACCGTGTACAGATGATAAGAGATGCAACAAAACCTCATCAGTGGCTTTACATTGAATCTGCCAGCAACCCAGCCGATCACACCTCGCCTGGACTACGTGCATCTGAAGTTAATGATTCTTCATGGTTGACCGGTCCTCCATTACTATGGCAACCCATCATCGAAAGCAGAGGTGTTGAAACAGAGTTGCAACTTGGAGACCCTGAAGTAAGATCTGCAAGATCTCTATGTACCAAAACAAAGGCTCATTCTAGTATCCTTGACATTCTGTCTCGATTCTCATCTTGGACCAAAATGATATCCTTCATTGCCAGAATGCAGAGACTTTCTAATGGTGTCAAGGGAACCTATCCACCAAATCCGAATGAAAGACTTCAAGCAGAACAAACTATCATCAAGCACATTCAACATGAAACCTTTCAAGACGCTATCAGCGCTCTCGAGAAATCTGAAGGGCTACCAAGGTCGAACTCCCTTAAACTCCTAGAACCAATTCTACAAGATGGGATACTTCGAGTCGGAGGCCGACTGAGGAAGGCAACCTTGTCTGTTGCTTACATGAACCCAATAATCTTACCCAGAAATGGTCATATCACGCACTTGATTCTCTCACATGCTCACAAGGAAACCTTTCATCAAGGAAGAGGAATTACCTTGAACAAGCTCCGGTCTCTTGGTTATTGGATTGTAGGAGGAAGTAAGACGGTAGCCAGCTACATACGTCAGTGCGTTATATGCAGGAAGTTGAGACGACCGACAGAGACACAGAGAATGGCAGACTTGCCCAAGGATCGTATGGAACCATCTCCGCCTTTCACATACTGCGGTATGGACTGTTTCGGCCCATTTATTGTGAAACAGGGACGGAAGGAAATAAAACGATATGGGTTACTATTTACCTGCATGTGTTCTCGTGCTATCCATACTGAGATGTTAGATGACATGTCTACAGACGCCTTTATCAATGGTTTGCGCTGTTTTATCGCCATTAGAGGAACCGTGCAACAGTTGCGCGCAGATCAAGGAACCAACTTCATTGGAGCTAAGAATGAGTTCCAGAAAGCACTTAACAAGGAAAGAATATGTTCATTCTTGGCAGAGAAACACTGTGAATTCATGTTTAACGCGCCCAGTGCTAGTCATACAGGAGGTGTGTGGGCACGTCAAATAAGAACCGTCCGTAACATACTCAACGCCATATTATTACTTTGTCCTGGAAGGCTAGATGATTCCAAACTGAGAACCATACTACGAAGCAATGTCTATTGTAAACGGTCGCCCACTAACGGTCAGTGAGATAGACAACCCAGACTCACTGGAGCCGCTTACTCCGAACCACATCTTAGCTGGGAAGACCATTTCTCCCCTTCCCCCTCCTGGAGAGTTCGTGAAGGAAGACATGTATGTCCGTAAACGTTGGAGACGTGTACAGTACCTTATGGAACAATTTTGGTCCCGTTGGAGACATGAGTACCTGGCTCAGATCACCTTACGACAGAAGTGGCATGGAGTTCGTCGGAACATCAAGGAAGGGGACATTGTTCTGGTGAAGGACGTTGACCTGCCACGCAACCAATGGCCTCTCGGTAGAGTTGTTGAAGCCAACCCAGATGATGATGGTCTTGTACGGAGAGTCAAGGTGAAAATGCAGTCTGGAGTTCTGGAGAGAACAGTTCATAAGCTTGTGCTACTCATTGCAAATTAATGTAACTGCTATGTTATTGTTGTATGTTGTAGTGTAGATGATAACGTAGATTGCATAGTTTGAATTTCTAAAATCATGATGATTTTGGTGGGAGTGTAAATGTCATAATTTTTATTTTTACTATACCTGGTAATTTTAATGAAGTTTATTTTATTTGTAATATTTTGTTAATCACATATGTGTAACAATGTTTGGTAAATAATTCCGGATAGACAATCTTCTTATATTTGGGTCCGGCTACTATTTGTATATTACGTAATTTCCGCCCAGCATCTTTGTACATCCTAACGTGAACGAAAGAACGACAAAAGTTAAAACTTTAGCGACTTGGTCAGGAGAACAAGGTAATTAGAAATTATGCATCTCATATATGCTCATAGTAACGTTTAACGTCCCTGATCTTGTTAGTTAATGTTTCTGATTTAGTATAGATATAACGATTACTCTGTATGTAGAGCATTTTTGTACAAGCATGGCTAGTGTTGTTTTATACATGGCGCCAATTTGACCCACGTGTGGTGAAATTTTGATTGAAAATTATTAGTCCCATAGCAATATGTATTTTATATATCATATCAATTTAATGATTAAATAGAACCGATTTATTATGTAAATTATCAGTTGTGAGATTATTTGTTGTGCACATGGAATTTTTGTGTCATGATTTACTTAGAGTTATTCCCCTTTGTACAGTAATGTAAGGCAAGGCGCCAAGTTTGTTTACATGTTTTAAGTGAAGTAGCACAGTTGTATTTTCTGATTGTCACTGGTAATAATTTTATTGAGATTAAGTAATGAATTAAATTAAACGTATAGATATTATTCATATTACATATTACTAGTCAATTAACTGATATTATTGAATATTGAACTCTAGTCTACATGTGTATGTATACCAAAGGGTCATCTTAGTGCATGTTTCTGTACTTTATGTAATTTAGATTTTCTTGTTAATTATTACTGATAAATTTTGTATTTGTTTTTACAGTTCTTACGTTGATGTTACCATCAATAAAGACATCACCAGTATTATTAGACTTATCCCTTTTTGACCAAGCCACTAATACTTTAGTGTGCAAGCATGGCTAAGCATGGCTTCTTTTTGTTTGATGTAAGTTACATGAATACAGTTTATGCAGTTATTTTACTTTCTCCCTAAACTGAGCTAGTCTTGTATGATCGAGGAAATTCGAATGAAATATTCATTTTGTATTGAACCTCGATTAACATTCATAACTGTTGATCTTGTTTTCCTTTAAAAGTAATTTTTATACATCATAATTATTATATAAAGTTGGTGTTGTTAAATTCATAATTATTATACAGTTATAAAGATTTTGTTGTTAGAGTGTATTGGGGGGGGAGTTAGAGTTCAAAAAGCTTTTATTATGATCATCCAACCTATGATAGAATTTAACAGAAAACTGCACATTGTACATGGGAGTTTATCACTAATTTGTTCTTTTAATGAATAAACAAGTTTAACTATGCTGTTGCCTTATATTTAAATATGTCATTTTTTTGGTTTACTTTTTTTCTCTTTTTAGTACCAGATCACAGTGAGTAGCTTGTACTGAGCTAGGTTGTACTGAGCCATCAACAAAACTGCAGATCCTTACAAATTTAGATTGGTTATACATGTAGATCAATAGGTAGGTTTTCTTGTTAAAGACAAATATCACATTCCTAAGAGTTATCTCCAGTTGTCAGCATGACGCTCATTTTTCCCACGTGTTAATTTTTTTAATCTTCAAACATTATCAGACAATTTCGATCTGCACCTCTATTGCTAGGGTATGGGGCAACATGATATTATTGTATTACTGTAAACATATTAAATATGGCTATGTATAATTTGTACTGCTTTTGGCGGAAAGGAACTTCCGCTAATTAAAGTACAATGCTCAATGTCTTGCACATATACGCATAAATAGGAACATGGAGAAATGTGCTAAATCAAATCTACGCTAACTTGTTCAAAAATCAATTTTCGCCAATTATCATATATGCCAAATATAATACATTTACAGATTTGCCGATAATTTATATGACTAATTCATGTATATAAAAAGATTACTAACTATTTATAGTATTTCAGATTGACATATGCTGACTTGAGTCTATGGGTATGGGAAACCATTTTGCAGTAATTAGGAATGTGCAGGTGAAAGTGGTAAACTTCCTTCTATTGCAACTTTTCGGGCCTTTCTGACAAACAAAAACCATGGTCAACCTGCTAGAAGTTTCTTTGGCGCCACGACAACCATATTCCAATGTCAAGGTCAAAAATCAAAGGCCAGAACTGATGTCAGCTGGAAAGATACCACATTGTGTATTGGACTTGCAAGTTCAAAGGTCAGTAATAAATTGACAACTTGCATTGTATATTATATCTTTATTATTAGGTAGGCCCAAGTGAGCATTTTTAAATTAATTTTTGACATTCAGTAATGTTTATACATTCGATGTGTTTTTGCGAGCTTGTCGGTAAGCCCTGAGAAGACGTGATTGACACTTCAATTAATTTATAAGCATTTCAAATTGTCTATCTGCTTACAGTTTGTTTTGACTAAAATGAAAAGCAGGAATAATACATATTGCAAATACAGATATATTTAATGTTTTCCAATGTCAAGGTCAAGGATCAAAGGTCAGAACTGATGTCAGATGGAAAGATACCACATTGTGGAATGAATTTGCATGCTGGATAGTAAATGAATGCACCAGTTTCAAGTTCAAAGGTCTGTAATAAATAAAATGACAACTTGCATTGTAAACTTTTCTGATCAAACTTATTTCCTTTTTTTTGTTTGTTTGTACTTGCCAACCAATCCAAAGTTTTAAGGATTGTGAATTTTTTAATTTTCAATTTTTCACTTTTTTTTCATTCATAATAGGTTATAACAAGTGTAGCTTATTTATGTATACTGTATTACCTATTTAAAGTTATTTCTAATCAAACAAAAAAAATTGAAAACTAAAAATTTCAAAAAAAAAAGAAACAATAAAAAAACAAAGATGCTGACAGACCTACATACTACATAATTTATAGGTTGATTATATTAGTGGGAATATATGGTTTTAGAGTATTCTGAAGGACAATGTCGAATGTGACTCAGGTGGACAGTGTGGTCTTTGGAACTCTTTTTTTAAAGAGAAAAATCTTGTTTTAACTGCGATAAAAATCACTTCCATTATCAGGGAGTCAGAGGTTTTTAGAGGGGGGGGGGGGACAGTCATTGTTTTGATTTCTTAACTATACAAGCTTGATAACTATGAAAATTTCAGAAAAGGAGATATGATTTTCCAACTCCCATCTGGATCTGTGCATGTCTTATGATATCTATTTTTCAATAATTATATGTTACCCTAAGGGCTTGATAATCAAGGTGACATACTAGTTGGTATCTTTTAGTTTTCATTTGAATATCAATTTGAAATGCTAACTAGACTGAAGAAGATGATTTTTGATTTTTACAGGATTGATGTAGAAGCCTGGATGCTTTGCCGATGGTTTCATTTCCTGTGGATATTATATGGACATTGATGGGTGCTACTGCTTGGTGCAAAGCAATAATGACATTTTGTAGCCTGTAGAATTCACTTAAATATGGAGAACTCATTTTTATGCCCCTCCATTATTATGGCCTGGGCATACAGTATTTACATGTCTGACTATCCCTCCTTCTGTCACACTTTGCATTTAGTTTAGTTTCATATACCAATACATATTGATGAGAGCTATTCAAGTGCTTCAACATTGTTAGCTCTGAGCAACTCAGGTGACCAATTGCTACCTGCTTTCATCCGTCGTCGTATGTCTTTCGTTGTACGTCATTCGTCGTCAATAGGTTGTAAACTTTTGGACATTTTCAACCTCTCTGGAACCGCTGAGCCAATTTCAACCAATTTTGGCATACTATTGTTTGCAGTTAAGTGTGAAATTTTACATTACGTCACGATCTAGTTGACAGCTGCGCTCAAGGTAAATTGTAACGCCTCCTAACTGCAAGCTTTACGACTGGAACTTCCTTCTTATCCCTGATTGGTTGCTCATGCAACAGACTATTTTCGTGTCAATGTTGATAATATGAGTTTACCAATCACGTGAATTGTTTACGCTGGATGCATATGACAAAAATGATCATGACGTAACGCAAAACTTCACACTTAACTGCAAACAATAGTAATATAAATCTGCGGATGAAGGGGAACAAAAATTGTGAAATTCATGGCCCCTGCCCCCCTGTGGCCTTAGGTTTGGGGCCCAAACCTCTAAAATTAATCCAATCTTCAAACATCTTCTTAAATCCTGGACATCAAGCAGTCAAACTGTTGAAATTATTATAATGAGCATTGAGTCCTCTACCAGAATTGTGAAATTTATAGCCCCAGAGTCAGGGGTTCTAATGCTAGGATGGGGCTATATAGATTATATTGTGAAAGTGCATTATTTCCTTGAAAATCTTCTCTGCTCCTAGGTATTAAACAAATATACGTCAAGTTGATGTATTTTTATGATGAGCAAGAGTGTCTCAACCAAAATTGTGAATTTTATGATGTCCCCAGGGTCAGGGGTTCTGGAGTTAGGGCGGGGCTGTATTGATTTTATAGTGATAATGTAATAACTCTTTGAAAATCTTCTCCTCTGCTCCTGGGTAAAAGGCTAACGAATAAAGTACTTAATTATGATGAAGAAGGATGCCTCTTCTAAAATTATGAATTTCATGGCCCAAGGGTCAGGGGTCTGGTGTAGGGCTGGGCTCTATTGATTATATAGTGAAAATGCATTATTTCTTTGAAAATCTTCTTCTCTGCTCCTGGGTATTAACCCTTTCACTTCCGTACCGGTCAAATTGACCGGTGGCGCGTTAAAACACGACTTCGCGAAAATAAGATCTCCGTATCTATTTTATGGTAGCATGAAGGTATATAAACTATATATCATCTTTTTGGAAATTTTCTCTACTTTTAAAATATCTAAAAAGATTATGTCTTGATTGCCGGTATTTAATCGATTTTACGTTGTGAAGACAAACGTGACTTTTGGAAAATGGCGTAATTTTCCAAAGCAATTGCTGATTTTCCAGACGATTGAAATTTTTTTCCTGATTAACTTTATGAGGAAAGTATGGTATATTCTTAAAGTATATTTTCTTTGCTTTTAAAATATGTAAAAATTATTGTTATTACTTTAAAGTATATTTTAAAAACAAGAATTTTCTTGCACTTATGTGTTTTTTTCTCGATTTTATTCGTAATGTTTAAACAAAGCTCAGTGTTACGTTTATTTCTGTGCTGAAATAGGGAAAACAAAATAAAGCTGGTACAAGTAGAGAAAATTTCCTTTCCAACAAGCCCTTATAGGACTTCTTACCCTTAGTATTTTCTTAATTACGATAATTTGAATTTGTGACCTTCGCATAGTTTTTATGGAAAAATCGGTCAATATTTACATGTAACGTCAAGGTCGATATTGTTGCGTCTTACTCGAAACAACAAATTCTTTTATAAGACTTTTTTGACCATGTAAATATATTTTTTACTGAAATAAATGCATAATACAACAAAAAAAGATTTCCAAAAAACAAATATATACTATCGTTCTGCCTTTTGTGTGAAGTGAAATGTTAATTATTCATCTACATGTAATGATGTATATTTCATGTAGTGATATAACGTTACAGATGTTGATAAAAAATGTAGATTCCCTAAACGTCGATCTTTACTTAAAAAATCAGATTTTTAATATTGTTGTATCTTGTTATACCGTATTCTTAATTTGCAATTTAATTAGATCTATGTTGGCACGAAATTTAACAATACAAAAACTCGCATTTATAAATAAATACGACTCATCACTGTATGAGTTGATACGAATTGAAATAACCACGTTTTTCCGCTATGGTAGCAGTTTGCAGTGAACAACATGATGGCGATCCGAAATCTGAACGTCAATTTTCATGATTATTTCACGACGAAGATCATCACATCAATGAATCAAATAATACGGACATGCCTTTGATATTAGCAGGTGAGAATACGTGTATATTGACTGAATAGTTTAAGTTTAAAACGCAATTAGTTCACGTTCAAAAGAAAACTAAATGTACACATGTACTAGATCTTCATATTTTAGTGTGTCGTGCGTATTTCGTATTGTTCAGCCAATTTTGTGTTGCTTTTGAACTTTGATGCTTTTGACAATCACTCGAAAGTTCAAAGTAAAATCAAAGTTGCCATAATAATGGATAGTTGTTTTCAGTATGTGTGTACCAGTGTATACATGTACCAATTTCACATTGAATTTTTAGGGTGCTGGCACCATATGCAACAATACTTTCATCTGTGAATACCCACCACTTGCTAAGCCCATCATGAACTACGAAGGCCAGTTAATATGTAAGGACACCAATGAACAGGTAAATTTTTGTTTTGGTATTGAAAATTTCTGTATTTCTAATATTTCAAAAAATAAAGTCAAATTTCATTTGTGTCATTCTCATGATAATGATGTTGCATTCATACAAGTTTATAAACATTTGATTTATATTTTGAAAAATAAGTATTTGAAACACATAATACTTATGATGATTGATTATTCATACAAACACATTATTTAAACACGTAATATAAATGAATGCCGAGATATGGAACAAGCTTTTTTAGACTGCTGTTGTATTTCCAATCTGCATAAGGTATGTGGTTAGAATTTCCATTTTCTCAATTTTTCAGACACTTTCCAATTATCGTACATCATATACATGGGTGGTCAAACTCACTGGATGGTTTATCAACACTCCCATGCTCATGAACAGCCTTGCCCCAGGAATTTTGCCCTGAAGTAACATTGCAGTCTATTGTCTCCTTTCTTTTTACAACCCTGGCAGCCATGCAGGTATGCAATCTATGAAAGCCATGAAGGGACATAAGAATTTTTGAAAATTTATAAAAGTAAACCGAGTTCTCGATTTATACAATCCGTTCTCTTGGATTGACAATCTGTTATAACAAATTGCCAATTCATTCTCACAGATTATCAATTCGTTCCCTCAAATTACACAATCCGTTATCTCAGATTGTATAATTCATTCTCTTAGTTTAAATGATTCGTTCCCTCGGAATGTAAACCCTTCCCATGATTTCAATAAAGTTATTTATCTGTACATATCGGATATGGTAATACATGTTTAAAGAATAGAATATTGTAGTATTTTACATCCTACCTTTTATTACATATTATGGTCCAAAATGAGAAAAATACAAGAACATTTTCAAATCCATATGCTAGTACTGATATTTGTACAACAAAAAATCTTTGAGGTTTTTGTGTTACGTGTATATTAGAATAATTGAAAGTCCTAAATAGTAAAAGTGAATATGGGTCCTGTGTAATCATAATATTTCTAAAATAAATATACGTTGAATTAGTTATGAAAGAGGTTGGAAATGACCGGCTGCTGAAACAAAATAAACAGAACGCACAAATTGATTAAAATGGTTGGATGTATCTGTACATATATGTAATGAAATTCAAGAGCACTGAGAAAATCAGAAGACTGACGTTGTAACAAATCGAGATCTCGAATTATTAATCTGTGAAAACAAATTACCAGTATGTAATTCGAGATCTCAAATTATGAATCAAGGGGGCGACTTAGTAATCTGTAAGATCGGATTGTGTTATTCAAGATCTCGAATTATAAATCGAGGGAACGTTTTAGTTATCTGTGGGATTGGATTGTCTAATTCGAGATCCCATTTTTTACTTTTTTGAAAAATTGATGTGTCCTTCATGGCTTTTGAAGCAATCTAATTAAAATTAGATCTTCCATCCACTGCCAGATTTCTTTATATGTTGCGATAGCGTAAACAGAGGCTTTAGTCAGATTGCCGTATATGCTATTTATTTTAGTTCAGTAATTTTACCATGATGGTTTACTACAAGGTTGTTGAATTATCAGTCCTGATACATTGACTTAACAATATCATTTAACTACTTGAATCACATAATAAATACAATTTTAAAAGGAAAATCAAATAAATGTAGTAATTTTAGCATTCTGAATTTTATTTTTAAATATAAATTCATATACACAATGATATGTATCTGTTTCAAAATATTTAAATCTTTTACAGGATAGAAGCTGATAACTTGTACTTGACAGCAAATAGTAATTCAAAGAATTTCCTCCAGTCTTACAGAGAAATGACAGTTGATAAAAGAATGGTGGACACAAAATAAAAGTGCTCTTCAACATTTTGTTGAAGATATCAGTCTGATTTGGAATTCATCTTGCAATATTTCTGGATTTGTGTATTTGGATATAAACGTCACATTTTCAACTTATTGACTAAACAGTTTTGCGTTAAATATTGCCAATGCTATCTATTATTATTATTTCCCTCCAAGATAACATGTCAAGTCTTTATTGTACCCCTTAAGCTCTGTTATACCAGAAAAGTCTTGTAATGAAATCAGTTTATTTTTTCTTGTGAGATTAAAACCATGAAAATAAAGATTACTTTTAATGGCATCAAGAGAATGGATTTTTTTGTTTAACAAAAAGATTGTATACATGTTTTGCTAGCTAGGGGTTTGTAAGAAGCAGACCAGAATTCTTTGCTTGCAAATTTTGTCCTTTGCCATTTTTATCACGTCAACTATTATATGATTTATCCATGATTGAAGCCTTTCAAAATTGATATTTAATTACAATTTAAAGCAGAATTCTGTACTGATATGTCCTTGACCTCCTTAAGAACAAGAGTGTCAAGGTCAATTTTTAATACAAAAGTGTTCTTTCATCTTTATGGCCCATATCTTACATACAATATCATAAAATATACAAAAAGTGTCGAGAATGTGTCCAGAATGTGAAATAACAAACATGTATATAGCCAAAAACTTGAAAAAGTTGTTGCTTAGCAACCACTTAAAGGTCATTAAACAGATATTTGAACTAAAATGATGCATGGATATTGCAGTTCTGATCCCTTCTTGAGAGTATATTCAGAATTTTCCATTTCAGCATCCATTGTGTAAAATTATGGCAAGAATATTGAAAAGTGTTGAAAAAAAATGATGAAACTTTTGCACTTATTTGACCTTTGACCTCCTAAAAATAGTTTTAATGAGGTCAATTTTTAAGACAATTTATCTGCTGTTTGTCCCTTGTACTGTTATGACCTCACATCTAACTTTTATATGTGCTGGGATGCATAAATGTGTCTAGGATGAGAAATAAAGGAAAATTCTTGCCCGAAAATTGAAAAATTCTGGGTTGCTAAGCAACCGCTTTTAAGTAGTTATATGCAGAATTGAAAAAAAAGTTTTTATGTTTCATGTAGTACAGTATCATGCTCTTTTGTGAGTATATAAAAAATTTCCTATTTCAACATACATCATAGTAAATATTTAGCTTGAAGACTAAAAAGTATCAAAAAATCCCATAAAACTTTGCACTTAATTGACCTTTGACCTCCATTTTTACTAATAAGGTCAGTTGTTGAGTATCTGAATAGTCATAAAATATCATCTCTAAGACATTCCCTACAAAATGGTATGCAATATACCTAGCTTTCTCCTTGAATAAAAAAGTTGGAAATAATTTAATAACGTCATATCAAAAAGTCTCCAAAATCACCTAAAATGTGCCGGTAGAGAAAGGGTTAAACAAACTACATACATAGTTATGATGAGGAAGGGTGCCTCTTTGAAATAAGTTTCAAAGTGTTACTCAGGGTGGGGCTCTATTTAATTTATTGTGAAAATGCATTAATTCTTTGAAAATCTTTTCTGTTCCTATGTATTTAACAAACTAACTACATGTACAAGCCTAGTTATACTGAGCATATATCATTCTTCCAGAATGGTGATTTCAAGGCCCCTGGATCAGGGGAGTCATAGAGGACAGGGGGGGGTCTAATTGAAAGTAAATTAATTACTCAAAATATGCTCCATTATATATAAATCAAACATTTATGATGAGGATTGATACCTTTTCAAAAATTGTGAAATGTGAGGACTTACACTTAGGTTTTTAAGGGGGTTTAAATTGTTAAAATGAAGGGCCAAGTCCCTTCACAAGGGGAGATAATCAAGAAAAGAAAAAAATAGGATGGGGTCATTAAAAAATCTCAAGAACCACAGGGCCAGAAAAGCTGTCTCTTATGTGGAAGCATCCTGGGGTAGTGTAGATTATAAATTGTCAATTCATAACCTCCAGGGGTAGGGCGGGCCACAAGAGGGAATCCAAGTTTTACATAGAAATATATTGAAAGAATCTTTTAAAATCTTCTCAAGAACCACTGGGCCAGGAAACCTGAAAGATATGTGAAAGCATCTTGGGGTAGTGTAGATTCTAGAGTATAAAAATTATGACAGGGGAGGGGGTAGGGGGCCACGATAGGTTTAACAAGAGGGGAAATCTGGTAAAGAACTGCATCACGAAAGTTACTCAGGTGAGCAATGTGGTCCATGGGCCTCTTGTTTGTCTTGACCTTTTTTGACCTCATTTTTCTCAAATTTGTTTTATTACAATTGAAAAAAAACGAGGAACTGTGAGCAATGAGCTCACTAAATGATACCCCCTGCCTCCCATATGGTTATAACTGATGACAAAGTCCATGTTTTGCTGTTGCTGGGAAACCCAAAATACGTGTCGATCAAAAAGTAAATTAGGAGGTCACAATGGCAATATGTAATAAAGATTCTGTGAAAGTTTCATTAAATTTCACTCAGTAGTACAAGAGGAGTTGTGGATAAGAGATGGGTACCCTAAAGCGTAACAGACGGACGTACGTACAGCTAGACGGACAAACCGATTACAGTATATCCTCCCACTTTTCAAGCGGGGGGTATAAAAAAACTGTTACATATATTATTTTTGAATAAGCTAAAGCAAGGATACATTACTTTTCAATTTTATCCATTCTTTTACCTTGACCTTCCCAGTGCATGTAGCTTTTGCTAGGTGTTGATACGAAAAAGATCCCTCACTGCTCAAAGGACCTGAGTGCCGAGCATAGGACAAAATTTGTAGCCCTCCACCGGCAAGTGGTGGCGTCTCAATATGAGTGAAAAATTCTTGAAAGGGACGTTAAACAACATACAATCAATCAATCAATCATTTTATACTAGGTGTACTTTTGTAGATTTACATCTCCATATTTGTAACTCCTTCGAAATTTGCAAAAATTACTTTAAATTTTAATTTGAATTTAATTACTACTACTTCTGATCTTGAGTACGTTTTAAAATTTTAATGCACTTTCAAAATAATTTCCAATCTTTTGCATAATCTTTAGAATATCACTTGTTGTTATTAGTAGCTAATTTATCCAAATATGGATAAGAAAGCATACAAACAATTTTACCTTGACTAAATCAGTGCTACATTATGATGTCATAGTAGGCGAGATGACGTCAATTTTAAAACACATGTTTTCGTAATATTACTATTTAGAGAAGTAATATAACACTAGAAAATGTATAGAAACGTGTATACATTAAGAAAATAAATGTTTTCATTTTTTTATGCTGTATTTGTCATTTTGATTAAATGAACGACCGATGACGTCATATGTGTATATCAAGTAACTTGGGAATTCACCATGTCGAGTAAAGAGAATTTGGATAAGATAACATGTACAAAGATTTGTAAAATAGAGTTTAAAAGCAAATATTATTAATATTATGTTAAATTCATATGGAGTTCAGTTAATTTAACAGGTGTGCTAATGCATTTTTATCGATTATATTCTCTTTCGAAGACAGTCAGCTACATATTATCCCGGTCGGCCTTCCCTCTGTCCTTTGTGACAAAAAAATGCAACAGAACAACAATAAGCTGGATATTTAAAAAAATAAAATTTGTACAGATGGAAAGTTTGCTCTCTAAAATATTTGGAAAGTGCTGCTAGAATCCCGAGTTAAGCATGGTTTTGCGAAAAAATTCAGTTCATATGTATAAAATTCAAAACATCGGGTAAGGTTTCGTGCAAATGTGTATAATTATTATTTTACTGACAGGACAGTGGGGTTCTAGCAGCACTTTTAAGGCAGAACAGATATTTTTCGACTATATCATGTACTCAAAAAAATTATTAACTCCAGGATATTGTTGTTCTATTAGCTTTTTTATTAAGGAACAATTCGCTATAAATAGAAGTCACGTGATGACGGGGATGTGGCGCACGTCTTTGCGTTAGACGCATTTTATCTCTACGCAAAAGTAAATAATAGTTCACTTTTATCAGCGGTCTTAGTAAATTATCAAACTGAATTTTCTTTAAAAAGTCTAAATTTCCCGAGAAATGGTTTCAATGCTTCCTTAACATACCTGCGTATTGGTTCCTTCTTCATCCTAACCAAATACATTTTTTCATAACAAGTAAGTAGCAGCTGCATTCCCATGATTTATTACGTGGGACCGTCCGGTTTAAAAGTTTAATTCCTTTTGATCAGCCTCTTTAATTACTTTTATCTGTAGAGCTCGCGTTCGTTATCTTTTGTCAGACTAAAAGTGCAAACTCATAACATCCATTTTATTCTTATATTTACTGCAATTTTTGTTATGATAATGTCTTAATACAGTTGATTTCTCGTTGATATTAGACCTAAATTATGCGCAGCCTAATTCCAAAAACGTTTATTTAATACATTGTCTAGCCTCTGGGATATATAAAACTGACTTATTGATAGACTGTAGAAATACCCGAAATACGGGCACACAGTCACAGGTTTCCTCACCACATCTTCTGATTGGTTTCTGTATCTAAAAATATCTTTTTTTCGCTGTTTGTCATTTCGGGCGCTGTCGTTACTTTGGAGATCGGAAAATGGTCAGTTGTCGTGAAATACGTACTCGATGATATTGCAGATATTTTAATAATCATTTTTAATCAGAAAATATAAGTAGTAAAGTTTAATTTACAATTTTATAGAATATTTAATTATCAAAAGTTAATAAAAACTACTACTGACATTACTTTGAATGCGACTTTTATTCCGATTTGTGTTAGGTAAAATGCTCACACTCATAAAACATTAATTTGAATATTTGGAATTGAAAATCAACATTCATGGTAATTTACATAAAATTCATCAAATCAATATTTTGATTAATGAAACATGCTGAGTACATAACTATTAGCCAATCATTTTCAGTAATTGAT